GAGAGAGAGAGAGAGAGAGAGAGAGAGAGAGAGAGATTACAGGCAGAGGTTACATCGGGCTATGAAGCCCAGGATCTGATTCGACATTTTTGTGTCAGACATTGATTGGACATTCCGCGGGAAGACTATTTTTGGCCTTCGCTATCGCGATCTTGGTCTTCTCCCTCCTCTCCATCTTCGTCTCGCCTCTCCCCCCTCTCCTCATCCATGGTATCTCCCCATGTGCATGCTCAACGAGGGACCTTTCCTCTATGTATGTGGTCCCTCCTCTCCCTCTCACATGTGTGGTGTATGACAGGATGTCACGTCAGTATCTGACAGGTCAGGTCATATCTTTGAGTCTTCCGTTGTGCTACATTGTGCTATTTTCGTATGTATCTGGATGTACATTGCTTGTTGATGCTTTGCTGACGCTGCATTGTCCATTCGTGTCCTTTTCATCTCTTTACGGATCCTTGGCTCCATATGCATTGCTCGACTGAGCATGTCTCTCTCTCTCTCTCTCTCTCTCTCTCACACACACACACACACACACACACACACACACACACACCCCTCTTCATCTTTGTAGTGCAATTTATGTACTTGTCTCAAACTTCGGTTTTGCATAAGCAGTGAGCTCGGATCACAGCAGAGGCCAGAAAAACAGGCCTGTTTGCATGGGCCTGGGGAAGAGTTGCATGACATCATCATCATCGTCATTATTACCCCCCTCCTCAACCTCATCATCACCGTCAAGGAAGGTGTGATCCTTTGTTGAAAAAGAAAAAAAGGGTGAGAGCCTTGAGGTGTCATCATCAAACTGACTGACTCCAGCTTCTTCTTCCTTTTTTTCTTTTTCTTTTTGATTAGACAATCCTTTTTTCGTTTTTTTCTTTTTTTAAGAGGCATATACTTTTCTTCTTCTCCTTCTGTCATATCAGTAACCATTGTCATCAATAGTCAATATAACTAGATATCAATTATCATAACCACCTCATACCTCCCCCATACCTCCCCTGTACCCTCTGCTCTCAACCCTCGTCACCTCAGCCCAAATGATACAAAAACAGGCTTGTCAAGGTGGATGCGACCTCTGGAATGGGGACCCTTTTTCAAAAATTTGTCACTCGTGCTCAGTTCCCTCTAGTTGGGTGGTAGACACTGGCAGTTGGCAGTCTGCAGCACTGCTAAGCAGAAGCAATTGCTCATGACTACAGAATCATATCAAAAATCAATTCACCCTAATGCACTGAGAATTACCCATAGATCAGTGAGGAACCTGACTTACCTGAGCATCGGTAGCAGGGTTCCAATCTGGGTCGAATAGAATCAAACTGCATGCAATGAACAACAACATGTGTGATATGTCAGTGAGACGACATACATCATCAAGACACAGACACCAAACTATTCAACTCTATCAGAGTCAGTCAATTGGGAGCTTATCACCTTGCACTCTGTGCCAATCATCAGTGATCATCAGATCAACTCATCAACAGTCATCTTATCAAGCCTCACCACGAATTGACACTTCCAGCATCAAAACAAATATTCAATATTGCAGCATAACCGAATTGGACCTTGTATTCTGAAATCGGGATTGTGCACTTCCTGGGTCCACAGAGCCACATCCATTATTTTGGGCCGAATTCGAGCTCAGCTATGCTGCGGCCAGGATTAGATCACCCACGGCTCAGGTGTGGACACTTGTACTTTTCTGAATAAGGACTCCAGGACTTCTACTTCTGGGTTGATATCGAGGTTTTCTAGCTCTCGTGGCTTTGGCACAAGAGGGTAAGGAAATGAATCTAGCCTTGTAATCGTTTGCTGACAGCCTATTTTCAATGGAGTGTGCCTTGAGTGGATTGGGTTGCGTGATCAACCCTGGTTTCCACGAGAACTCTTCCCTCAGTAGTTCAGTCCATGTCTCTGGGATGCTTCCCTGAATTGTAGCTAGACTCTCAGCTAACTATTGGCATCCTTTTAGTGGGATCCTGTTACATGCTGCGCCTGCACACGGGCCCATTTTAAGGGGCCCGACGGTTGCTGAGGGGCCCCAGGCCGCATGCCATCAGACATGCGCCCTGGAGGCCCACGGCGGCCCCCAGGCCGCAGATTCCAATAGAGGCAGTAGTATTTATTTATTTACTTACCTGTTGTCTTGTCCCTTGTCCCTTGTCTGTGCAGATGTCGTTTCGGACTTGCAGACCCCAAGGCACCGCCTTGGGCCAGGTACAGAGGCAAGAGGCCCTTCCGAAACCAGGCGCGTTTTGGCACCTGACTCAACAGCAATACCGTTTCGGACCACAGGCACCAAGGCAGCACCTTGGGCTGGGTACACCGAAACGAGGCCGGACCAAGGCCAGGCGCGTTTTTGCGGCTTGCTGCATCAGCAGCACGGTCTGGATGTCCGGTAGGGACCCAGACTGGCTGGGCCGTTTGAGGCCAGCACCAGGCAGACTCAGCCTCGCCCAGCGCTACTTATAGCTGAGCTGAGGCTGGGCTGAAGGGTGGGGTAGCTCACTTTGTGAGCGACGCGCTGCTGGAAGGAAGTTGCGCTATTTTGAGCACAGCGCTGCAAGGCTGGACTAAGCGGCATAGGCGAGAGTGAGAGATAGAGGCCATACCTGCGGTGGCGAGCTTACCTGGCGCCATAGCTGGGATCTCCCCGCAGTAACTGCACAGGGCAACCACAGCGGTTAGTACAGCGACGGTACCTGCAGGTGTGGCAGCGAGGAGGGTGACATCTTCTCCCTTCTCGGCCTCCATCTCTCCTCCTCCTTTCCTCCTTCCTCCATCTTCTTCTTCTTCTTCTTCTTCTTCAGACACGAGAGTGAGAGAGAGGTTACAGGCAGAGGATACAGGCAGGGGTACAGTGGGCATTGCGCACAGGATCTGGTTCGACATTTCTGAGACAGACATTAGTTGGACACCAGCAAGGGACTATTTTTGGACATCGCCATTGCGATCTTGGTCTTCTCCCTCCCCTCCATCTTCGCCTCTCCTCTCCCCCATCTCACATTCGTGGTATCTCCCCATGTGTGTGTACAAGGAGGGACCTTTCTTGTCGGTGCTTGGTCCCTCCTCCTCCTCTCACATGTGTGATGTATGATGGGATGTCGTGTCAGTCCTGGTCAGGTCAGGACTTATATTAAAGTCTTCGGCTGCGCTACAATGTGCCATATGTATCAGGATGTACATTGCTTGTTGATGTTCCACTAACACTGCATTGTACATTCAGTCCTTTTCGGATCCTTGGCTCCACCTACATTGCCCAACTGGGCATGTATCAGATCCACATCACCTGTTCTGGTGTCCACCCTTTTGGCTCGTCCCACCATAGATGCTGAAGTTTCCAGACACCTTTTTCCACCCATTAGAGCCACCTATAGTCGTTCGAAGTCAATGACCATGGGGTGCCATCATCATTCGTCAGCGGTTGCAGAAAAGTGGTTGCCTGAGTACTTTCTTAAGTGGTGACTTGTGTGGAAGTATTTTGAGCCAGGCTGACAAAACTGACGCGCAATATGGCATAGGTTTGGGGGGAGCCAGATTAGGTGTCGGCAGGCAATTACTTTTGGGATTACCTTTCTGGATTGTCAACCCCTTGACCATCACCCAGAAGGGCCCGACCATGTTTCATGGGGTCTCGATGGGTGCAAGTTGTCTAACCCTCTCGAGAGCCATCATCCAAGGAAGGTGTTGTCTTACGAACACTTTAATGACCCACTTCATTCATAGGGCTATGGCTTCTTGTTTTGGATTAATCAACCCGACATCACCCTGTTGTGGGTTTTCCGGTGACATAAGGCCAGACAATAGTATAATGGTCGATTGATTTTCATGTCAATTTAATTTTACTCTGATTTTGACTCAAGGTGACAGGATCCGAACCTATGACCCTCTGTACCCAAAACAGATGCGCTACCAGAGTTGTGTTCAATTGGTAATTCAACTACACTATTGATACAGATTGAATTATTGGGGTCTCCTGTCCAAGGAAAACATCCGACTCAGTCCTTTAGAGTCTTTCTGGTCATCTCATCTGCAGGAGACCAAAGTGTGGCGTATTATACTGAGGTACCGATGATCAGGTCCTTGCCTGTTAAGGAGGCCTATGTTTTCAGTGGAGATCAGATTATGATCCTTACCTGGCCAGGAGCCCTCTTTAGCGATCAGATTCTGACCCTTACCCAGCCAGGCGCCCTCTTTATTGACCATAATCCCAAGGTAACGAAGTGCCTGTTCGCATGTGGACCAGGAGAAGTGTGTTGCTAAGCCTATAGGTTGAGGGGGGAGTCACCATCCAACCACCAGCCTTTAGTTATAGTCCAATGAACTTCCACTCTTAAGCGAGTGTGGAGGCTTCCATTGCCCTGACCAAAGCTTGAAAGGAGGAATTAGATGCTCATATTTAGACCGTCAGGTTATCAGCAAACATCAGGGCTGTGGGGAGCGAGAAGTTATGTAATGACTGACAGTCGGTCAATAGATGGATCTTTCCTTAGGAAGGAAGCAAATGCCCCCATTATGAAGAGGAATAGGAGGAGAGGAGGGAGGGGGTGCAGGGGGTCGCCTTGCTATACGGACCATGTGATTGAATAATTATCCAAGAGGATTCGGAAAACCTTCACCTGCCTAAAGCATTGTTATACAGGACTCTGACTCATTTCCTAAGACCTGGGCCCAACCCGATCTTCTCCATGCATGAAGGAAATCCCAGTTGACCTGATTGTAGGCTTTCTCGAAGTCGAAGAATAGGATAGCTGCTAAGCTGCTTGCATGCGGCGCTCTGAGATCATCTCGGCAGCCTCATTCAGGATCTGCCACCCAGGGATGAAACCGGCCCGGTCATATGGAAGCATTTGCCTCTTAAATGTAGTATCCTGTTAGCTGGCGTCGTGAGGTTATGAGCAGGGAGATGGGTCTGTAATTGACTCTGTATAATTAAAGCAGTCCTTATCCCCTCTCTTACATATTAGCAAGCCCACACTAGTGCTCATGAAGTTTCCAAGACGGCCTTTCTCCAGACACACATTCAAGAAAACTCAACAGGTCTTCACCCAAAATTGGCCAAAAAAGGACCCAGCTGCAATTATCTGGGCCAATTTACAGCAAGTCGTCAATCCATGCAGTCACCACACACCACGATCACACACATGAAACACAATAGGAGGAAACCACATGAAAACTCAAATTCAGTATTGAAAAAACATGTAAAACAAAGAACAATGAAACTGTTCCAACCTCTGTACAAACGGCATCTATAGCTTCCCAGAACTCTTCCCAGGTAAGCACTTCTCTCTCTCTCTCTCTCTCTCTCTCTCTCTCTCTCTCTCTTTCTCAGCCCTAGCTATGGCGCTCTGCACCGTTGACTATCCCTACTGTCTCCAGCCAAGTCACACTCGAAGTTGACTGCACAAGCAAACAGCAGAGCTTCCGCAACAATTCGAATGAACAAGTGTTTTCCCTTCTACTGTAGCTCCCCTTTTGTGCTTGTTGCAGTTTCCGATCCCGAAGGCCAGAGTGCATTCACATGCCTCCCCAAGTGCACAAGGCTGACGGGCTGCAGGGTATGCTTCCCTGAAAATGACCGTTCTTCGAGCCTCATCTCGTATAAGTGTCAGCCGGCTTGCATCACAGCTCCAGGCACGAAAGCAGCAAGACATGTCGGAACTGATACCAGTCCCTGGCCTGCCGCCTGGGTTGCTTGTTGCTTCCGAATGTTACCGGACTTCCCCTGGATGCTGCTGCTATTTTTGGGACAGACTTTTGTTGGAGACTGGACTGCTACAGCCCACCAGATATTTCTACAGACAAGACCAGACCCTGCAGCAGCGATTCCAGCTAGGGCTACTGGTTGGACTATGGTATTTAGGACGTGCAACTTTGGGAAAGACTGGACCTCGGACTTGGAGGCAGAAATATGTGAAACCCTTTCACGAAATTCCTTTGTTTTTTTTTGTTTTTTTTTTTTGTTTTTTTTTTTAATAATAAAACAGGTCCTTATGTCCTTGGCTCCATTTCCATTCTGGGGAGCGTCAGTGTGGTTCCTATTCCCCCGGCAAGTCAAATTGAAATACATCGTGGTACACGCTCACGCTTCCTTCGGTCTGGCCGAAAGAACCCTGACCAGCATTGATTACTCCTGTATGAAAGAATTGACTGTCAGCTTGCCCTATCCTAGTTTCCTCTCAGAACCATGTTGGTTCTGTCGAATAGGCTTGAGGCACGCGAAATTGGGAGAGATGTCTGTCAGTCAGAGGCTAAAGCCTCAATTTGCCCTTCTCAGGACTGCATTCCTTGCCATAGTTGGAGTGGTCCACTTTTTCCGAATCAATTCGTTATCTGTGATTGTCGCTATCTTTCCCTGTAGCAGCCAGTCTCTCAATAAGATTTGTCTCCTGAGTGCGAGTCTTTCCGGTTTGCCTCTCGTTGCTGCCGACACACTCCTCCATTTGCATCTGATCTCTGTTTCCGCCATCCTCAGCAGGAGAATCCACATTTCTTCCTTGGCCACTCCTGAGCATGTGGAACCAGATCGCTTTTCCTCCTCTGAGGCTGTCGGGGATGTTAGATAGCAGTAAGATGTTCTGAACCAATCAACAATGCCCGGGCCTTTAACCATTCCTTCTGAGGGCTGTGATTACCTGTGGAGGCTCTGGTTAGGCTGGTTGGATTCGTGAAGGTCAGCGTAGAAAGACTGTGCGACTTCAACCAATCCCGGGCCGTAAGTCTTGATTCTGTTAAAGGCAGTGGGGTGTTGGAGGCTCTCGAGTCTCGATCATATTATTCCTGGCGTTCGGTCTGCTCTTAAAAAAACTTTGGACATGGATTCATTCATCGTGTAGTCAATCATTCTAGCCCTCATCTATAGGCCCCTCAGTTCCCAACGTCTCCATTTGCCCAATTCGTCCTTGGCTGAGCCAAGTGGGTCATAATAGAGGTTGCTGCTTGGGTCCTTAGTTAGAAATTACATTCCACTTCTTGGACCACTAATTCCAGCTCTACTTTTCTGGCCTTCCTCTCTCTGGCTATACTCCAGGATTCCAAGGATACTATTTGAGAAAGATAGGAGTAACTGGTGTCCAAGAACAACTGGTGCCTGTCCCAATAGACCCATTCTGAACAGTTCCGTGTTTTGCGTTTTTTTTTTAAACTTTTTCGGATCCCCCCCTCTTTTTTTTTTTGGATTACTCTTCCTGCACCAGGTTCACCCAAGATTGAATAGGTCTTCAGTTGGTCCAGTTATCAAAGGGAAAAAAACAGTCATAGTATTGCTAATGTAGGAGGAGCAAGTTACCAACTTACCAGGATAGAGCAACCAGATTGTATTTCCCCCCCCTCAAATATTAGACGAGTCCTTATATGGATGGGTTGAGAGTCTTGAGACTGAAGAGGAAGCTAATCTGAAGTTCAAATCTGATGGTCAATCCTCCCAATATGGAACAATCGATGCCGATCAGATGGGTGTGCCAGCCTCAACGATCGGAAGCGTGAGGTTTCCTTATTGCATGTCATATTCAGACTTGCCGGTGGAAAGTAACCGGACTGATGCTTCCCAGAATGGAATAAAGCCAGGGCCCTAAGGTTTTTTTTTTTTTTTCTCAAAGACAGTCCTTATGTTCAAGACTGCATTCTATTCCAGGGAGTATCAGTCCAGTTCTTTTCCAGATGGAGCTACAGAACTCAAATTGCAATGACTGGGGTAAGGAATAGTTAACGTTGATCCACCAACTTGTACGTCAAGTAGCTCACAGACAATAGGATTACAACTACTGGTATAAGGAATCGGTAACTCAAATTGCAACAAGCTCTTCCCAAAAACCACCCTGAGACGGAGAAAGGCATAACAGAAAAGAAGCTTGCAAGGCTTTTATACAATACGACATACCGGTTCGCTCCAATAAGGTTGAGTCCAGTTCCCCCTGCCTTGGAAGATAACAAGAATATGAATTCCTCGGTAAACCCACTGTTGAAGCGATTGACCATAGACTGCCTGCCGCTCACATCCGTGGTCCCATCAAGCCTGAGAAATTTCCATCCCTGGGAGCTGCAAACCGACTTCAAAGAGCACCACAACACATTACTCTCACTCCCTATAAGTGCAAAATACAATCAGGATGCAGCGGTGTTCATTTAAACAACTATGCATTTCATGTTTTCATTACTTATGAAACAGTTCTTTTTTTTCCCTTTTCCCCCATAAATTCTCATGTTGAGGGACTGTGCAATGGCATCCACACAATCTGCCATGTCGCACTCATGGGAGATTTTCTAACCACATCTGGTCAAACTCACACTCAAACATTTTGAATTAAATCAGTCATTTTCGGGAAACAGTCTTAACAGACACATTCAGTAAACTTGAGTAAAGTTGAAGTGTGTGCATGCCCACAACACATACGCAAATCAAGGACAAAAGTAGATGTTTTCAGGCAACCACTTTTCAGAAACCTGTGGATCAGAAATGAAAGCAACCTCCCATGGAGCGATCTCAAGTGAAGGGTTGCTATACTCTGATTGACGATCTGAGGCAGATGATCCAAAGCATTGAAGATGGATGGAAAGACCTGCTGGGGGAGAAGTTCACTCGGAAAATAGTGGAATGGGGAGCGAATCCAGGAAGCCAAGCCCCCCAAAGCATACTGATTCCCACAAAGACTCGCAAGTTCCAGTCAGGAAGCAGCATTCACATCCTTCCTGATTAACTTGGGTCAGAGAGAATTGCCAAGCATCGTAAATCTGAAGCCGTGTGGTGGTCAAGTCCTAGACACAGTACTCATCGCCCTTGTGGAGCTGGCGACTGGGCGCGGGACTAGGGGAGTTGAACCCCGAACCAGAAAGTTTGTGCCATGGCTTCTTCAAGTCAACCAAGCGGGAGTGGAGATGGAGAGGGCCCTAGGACAAATCCCCAGATCTGCTATAGCTGTAAACTGCCGGGCCACTATGCAAGAGACTGTGGAGCGTATTGGAAAGAAAAGTACGAGGGAAAAACTGGTGACACCGGAGGGGTGGGGACATCTCGATATACACGGGGGAGATCGACATCTCCAATAAGAAGACKTTGGGAACCTTCTAAACGATCACCGTCGGCTGATTCGAAGTACCACGGTCAACGAAGTGAGGAAAGRGATAGTCTGAAAGATTTGGTGCGCTTGTTGATGGCTGAACGTGAGGAGGAGGAGAGAGTGAAGGAAGAGGAAGAGGAAAGAGTGAAGAAAGAACGGGAGAATATCGAAAAGGAGGAGAAAAGGTTTAGAAAGGAAGAAAGACGTAGAAGAGAGCAGCAGGAGAATGACGAAGATTGGCCAAGATTGTGGATCTTCAGTTTTCAAAAAGGTGGGGTGGAGCAATGGAGCATATGGGAGCGGACATTTCGCCAGAGTACCATCGAAGACATAGGCGATATCGAAAGGCCTCAAGGAGGGGAAAGCACCATCGGAAGACGAAGATTGTGCTGTCTGATACTGAGGAGGAAGTGTCAGAAATCAGCCAGCGCACACGCGGGCTACATCTGACGAACAAGCGAAAGCGAGCATCCAGTCCTAACACTACTCCGCTAAAGATGCATTGAGCTCGGGAACTGCCTCCAAGGTCTTCACAGATGAAGTCGGCGAAGAAGATGAAAACTACGCTGCAGCCGATAACGATGAAGAAGCTTCGGGAAAAGAACGAACCGACGGTGAAAGCGGCGGTAGCAGGATGTGAGGCAGGATCAAGGCTACAGTTCGTGAAGGATACTGCAGAACACTTGGACGGTCTCGATTACCGTGTGATACAGAGAATGTGCAAGATGGAGGGCGTACCGTACGTCCACAAAGGGCAGGCGATATTGGCCCTGGCAAAGAAGAAAGTGCAAGTTGCCTACGAAGGCACGAAGGAGGGTATACCAGAATACGCCAAAGGAAATGACAAATCAGTAACTACGAGCGACGAAACTTTTGAAAGCGACGACACTTCCGAAAGCGACGACACGAGGTCATCTGACGACTCACCATGCAACGAGAACAAGAAGAGTGCATGAAGTGGTAAGACGAATTCAGAGCTTTGGGAATGTTGTCGTGCTCTCTCGTACAAAGCTTGTTTCGTTGGACTCTCGTTGCCCTCACTTTACGAGGATGCATTCCTTGGCAAGAGAAGTTTATCGGATATTGGTCGGGCGTACTATCTAAGGACCCTAAGGCTTTTGATGATCCGAACTGTTGTGTGTATGTAGGAGTCTCTCGCTGGTGCACGCTACCTACGTAGGAAAAACGAAAAGATTGTTAAATACTAGATGGTCAGAGCATAGGGGAAATCGTAGGCACGTGATTTCGTCCTCGTCGCATTTCCATAGGTGGCTAGAACGATTTGCCATCGAGAATTATGTCCTGATTCCTGTTTTCTCGGGTTCTGCCAATGAACTGGTTAGTTTGGAGGACCTATTGATTCGTACGTGGTCGCCAAACCTTAATATCCGAGGGAAGGAAAAGGGAAGGAGGAGGAGGAAGCAATCTCGAAAGGCACAGAAAGGGAAGAAAGAGAGAAGTAGGGGTAAAAAGAGATCCCGAGGAAAGAAATTACGAAGAAAGGGTAATGAGAAGCTGCGGGTGATCAGGGTCAGGTTAGACCATGAATCTAACAGGGCGGCAAAGATTCTTCAGACCTTGCGCAATCAAGAGGAAAAGGGAAAACGAAGCTTTGTGTTGAACTCTGAGGGTGGAAACGCGTGGTGTGATAAATGGAAGAACGTTAAGAGGGTGTATGGAAGCTCTGTAGTATGGGTGGATGGATATGAGAAACAGTTGCGGCAGATAAAGAAAGATGTGGAAAGAGGGAGTTCTATCCAGGTACTGTACCTGAAACGATGGAAAAAACACTTCACACCTTCTTGGTTTCAATACTGAAGCAACGCCAGAAGCGAGCTACCCTGCGGTCTTGAGATTTGAAGTTTTTGGTCGAACTCGTAGAAGCAGTTAATGAGTTTACTAGGAAAGCTACTCGACGGTTGCTGAGGCGGCTTTTGTTCAATGAGATTAGACAAGGATACGGCTGAGGCGGATTTTGTTCAATGAGATTAGACAAGGATACGGTTTTAAGTTGGGTAATAAGCTCATCGCGCGAGTACGATAAGATGATAGGATTAGCCTAGCTGGTTTGCGATTCTATCGATAGTATGGGCTTCCCTCCTATGATTAATGACATCTATAAGAAAGAAGTCAGGGTGGTATGGACCAAAAATCCTAGCATAGCTGACATTCTCTGCAATCATCGTAAGGCCGCCGGAAGTGAAGTGCAGGTCTGCAGATGCAGAGGGTACAGTCTCCCTCGTCATGAAGGGCATGTTAGACGTCGGCTCGGGGAAATTGAGGGTCTGCCTTTGGGTATGCAGAATGGAAGGAATATTCCTAAGGCATATGGGAAATTCCACGAAGTGTCTCTGATGCGCGAATTGTCAGAGCCAATATCAAACTGGAACCCTGGCGTGAGTTGTAACTTGCATGTGAGTCAGGAAGAAGCGGTTGCTTGCATGAATATAACGGCTGTAGATGCTAAGGAGGTATCTACGGAAGAGGTTATGGAAGTCAAATGCAGGTTTTCAGCGTTGATATTCACCCTTGTTGACCAAAATCCAGGGGAAATTGTCGTGATGTGTCCGAAGTTGTACTACGAAGCTATGGCTGATCTGTTTGCACGTAGCTCTAGGTATGTCGTGTGTGGCCAGGAAGAGGAAGATGCTTGGAAAGAAGCTCGTAAAAACTTTGAATCCTTCGACCTCGCTGAATTGGGTAAATGGGACATGAGAGGGAAAGCGGAAAAGGCTTATGTAATGCCTAAGCAGAAAGACCTATCTCGTTTTCGTCCTATATGCCCAACCTTTAGCGAATCAACAATTAAGATCTGCAAAAAGGTTTTTAAGGCGCTGAATCTGCTGCTGAATTCAGTTCCAAAGTCTTGCCGTTTTAATCTGCCTGCAGTTAATCAACTTACTGAGAGAATTAAGATGGCAAATGTTCAAGTGCATCGGGCTTATAAGCAGAGTGGGGCAATGGCAGCTTGCTATGACATCAAAGATATGTTCCGCAAACTGCCGCATGAGGAGATTCTTAAATCTTTGGATTGGCTCACTAGTTGTTTTCCAGMCAAGAAATCCRTGAGGGTTAACCYGCGAGGGAAGGGTGCTTCTTTTGTGGAGAAGAAGGAAGAAAAGTGGTGGTCGGTGGACTTGCGGGATCTCCTTAATTTCGTTTGTTTTGAGTTGCAACATACGTACGCTCGAGCGACCGATGTTCTTTAACGGCAAGTAGTTGGAATTCCGATGGGCAAAAGTAGTAGCCCGCCATTGGCATGTATTATGTGTGCACATGCCGAGTGGCGTTTTCTGACCTCTTTGGGCAAAGACARAATGCTGGTATTTGGAGTGAGATTAATGGATGACGTCTCACGTATTCTGGCTTATCAGAAAGGGAACAGGAGGTCTATTGGAATTGTGAATGGTATTYGAAGGAAGTTTGAGAAATGTCAACCCTGTTTACTCACCTTGTTGAGGACTGACGAGAAAACGGGGGGTTGGGACTTTATAGGCTGTCGAATGAGGGTCAATCAGTGTTTATCAGTGTTTTCCGTATTTGAGCAGCACCTCAAAGGACTAAGAACAAGGATTCTGTTTGGGGAACACGGCCCGTGAAACTGAAAACGGGACAAGATTTTTGGTCATGGTCCAGCCGAAAACAAAAAATGGCTTCTATTACCAGATGGTTGTGCAGGATCGACCGAAAYACGACAGACCGGGGAGAAGTTCCCAGGCAGGTCCTGACGTTGAGAAGGGAATACCGGGCAAAGGGATTCACAGGCAGGTCCTGACGTTGAGAARGGAATACCGGGCAAAGGGATTCACATACCACTTTTTTGGGTCCRTTCTTAGGAATTTTGCGCGGACCAGGGACAGTGTGGCGGTACACAGCTAAGTTAGTAAGGGGTTAGAAGTTTGTAGGTACAAGTTAGGACTATAAATAGTTTGGGTGCTTTTTGTTTGTCCTCTTTATCATACATGGCTCC